ATATATAGTCAGAGAGAGAGAAACAGAGAGAGAGAGACAGAGAGATAGTCTTGGTGAGGCACTGTAGGATAAGTGCACTGGGCCTCAAGGTCAATTTGAACAGTAAAGTCAGTGGTTGAAACCCACCAGCTGCTCCTCTGAAACTCTATACTGGGTCATAATGAGTCAGAAGTGACTTGATGGCACTTAACAACTACACAACAAAGCCTAAATACTTATATATTTATTGTTAATTGCTATCTAGTCATTCCAACTCATAGTGACCCTGTATAAGGTTTCCCAGGATCAGCTGGTGGGTTTGAACTGCCAACCTTATGGTTCACAGTCCAGTGGTTATCCTATAGTGCCACACCAGAAGTCCATATCTATTGTTATCATGTACTGTCCAGTAGGTTGCTCATAGACACCCAGTATACTGACTTTACAGCCTAGTGTTTATCCTATAGCAACAAACAAGGGCTCCTATGTATAAGGGCTTTGGTATATATCAAAACCCATTACTACCATCTCATAGTGACCTTATACAGTGTTTTCTGAGACTATAAATGTATATATTTGTTGTTGCTGTTAAGTGCTGTCAAGTAGGTTCTGACCCATAGTGATGCTGTATAGGGTTTCCAAGGAGTGGCTAGTGAACCAACTTTGCAGTCTAGCACATTAACTCACACCACCACACCAGTACTCTACAATTGTATCTATACAGAAGTTCATATATATATATGACTGTGGCTGTGTGTCCTGGTGTGACACTGTGGGATAAAGCACTGGATTGAAAGGTCGGTTTGAACCACAAAGTTCAGTTGAAATTCATAAATCGCTCCTTGGAACCCCTACACAGGGTTGTTATAAGTTGGAACCTATTTAATGGCACTCAACAACTGTAAAGTCAGCCATTCAAACCCATCAGCCACTCTTCGGAAACCTATACAAGGTTGTAGTGAGTTAGAATTGACCCCATATCACTTAACAACCATATGAAGTTGTTATGAAAGACTTCATTTTGCTTGAATCCAATACCAACACTCATGTAAGTAGTAGTCAGGAAATCAAAGGATGTATTGCATTAGGAAAATCTGCTGCACAAGACCTCTTTAAAGTGTTCAAGAGCAAAGACATAAATTTGAGGATTAAAGTGTGTCTGACTCAGGCCATCCTTCAATAGCCTTATATGCATATGGAAGTTGGACAATGAATATGTAAGCTACCAAGTTTGTGAGAATCTGTTAATGCAATGATAGAAATCCAAGGTTCCATCATGTGTGTTTTCTTCATAGACATTGTTGTTAAGTGCCTTCCAGCCAGTTCCAACTCATAGTGACCCTGGATAGGGTTTCCAAGGAGCAGTTGGTGAATTTGAGTCACAGACCTTGAGGTACGAATTGACCTCTTGGTCCAGTGCGTGTTCCACTGCCCCATTGCAATTTTTTTTGTGTGTAAATCAATTATCTGTGAATTTGGTGCAGCACTATAGGATAAGCACTGGACTGCTAACCAGCCGCTCCTTGGAAACACTATACAGGTTTGCTCTGAGTCAGAACTGACTTAAGGCTCTTAGCAGCAGCAGCAGCAACATTAGAGTGCAAGTTCTATGAAGCCAGGACTCCATGTACTAACTTTCATCATTCTCACTGGGCACCATATCTGATATTCAGTAGTCTCACAGAAAACATTTGTTGAGTGAACTGATATCATAGTAGTATAAGATTGCTTTGACTTATTCCAGCTTACATTAACCTTTTGAGAGGAAAAATAGCCAGACTTACATTCTCAATAAAAGCTTTTGCAAAACTTGTTAATTTTGTAGTGGAGCAGTTGATGTTATGCATTACCTATCCACCTTGTACACATTTTAATTTTGTAACAATTGGATTTTAATTATTAGCATGCTATCTGTATTCTCTAGTAGTCAATAAAAGTCTTCAAGGGTGAAGGCAATGGTTTATTGTTGTTTTGAATCTCTAGATCCTAATTCACTATCTGACTTTGTTTTAATAGTCTAAGGATCTCTGGTAGCATAGTGGTTACAAGTCAGACTGCTAACCTTAAGATAAGGAGGACAAAATACCAGCTGTCCCGCTGGAGAAAGATGAGGCTTTCTGCTCCTGTAAAGATTAGCAGCCTCGCAAACCCTGTACAGGGTCCCTGTGAGTCGGAATTGACTCCACAGCACATAACCACTACCATTATAAATACGTATCTACTAAATAAGAAAAAATACGTGAATTTGCAAAGTTTAAATGCAATAATTCATATTTGTTGTTGTTGTTAAGTGACACTGAGTCAGTTCCAACTCCTAGTGACCTTGTATAGGGTTTTTGAGGAGCAGCTGGTGGGTTTGAACTGCTGACCTTGTGGTTGCCAGTCCAGAGCTGATCTTTCAGCAGCACAGCAGAACAATTCATATTTATCCTTCTTATATCTATCTTTAAGGATCTCTGGTAGCATAGTGGTTACGAATCAGGCTGCAAACCTTAAGGTGAGCAGTTTGAAACTACCAGCTGTTCTGCAGGAGAAAGATGAGGCTTTCTGCTCCCATAAAGATTTATGGCCTCGGAAACTCTCTACAGGGTCGGAAACTCTCTACAGGGTCACTATGAGTTGGAACCAACTCCACGGCACATCACCACCACCACCATATTTATCTTTATGCTTTAATTTAAAATTTTAAATTGATTGGCTTACACTTTATTGGTTGTCTTCTAAGTTATCTTTCATATACAACATTGCTAAGAATGACATTTGTTCTTCTTTTCTTTATATAATATGAGGGGTCTTCAAGAAGTTCATGGAAAAGTGAAAATAAAAGGTAATGGAATTTTTCTACAAACCTATTGAAGTCCTCTCATGTACTGGTCAACATTTAGACAGTACACATGTTGACAGATATAAAGAAGCAAAGGAGATATGCAAAGTCACTCTTTTGAAAGCTAATATTTTAACAGAAAGAGACAGACAACTAAATAGGAATAAAATATCAGGTAGTGATAAGGGTTTTTGCAAAGAAACCAACTTACCTAGATGATTTTGTTGTCTTACATTGCTCCACAATAAATAGCATCAAGAAAAATGGATGAAAGATAGAAGTTGTCAGATCAACCATCAACACTCATGAAAGCAGCAGTGAAGAAATCAAACAATGTATTGCATTATACAAATATGCTGCACAAGACCTCTTTATAGTGTTTAAGAGCAAAGATGTCAGTTTGAGGACTAAGGTGCACCTGACCCAAGCCACAGTATTTTCAATAACCTCATATGCATGTGAAAGTTGGACAATGAATAAGGAAGACCATTGAAGAATTGATGCATTTGAGTTATGTATGGTGTTTGAGGAGAATGTTAAAAGTACCACGGAGAGCCAAAAGAACAAAACAATCTATGTTGGAGGAAGTACAGCCTGAATGTTCCTTAGTAGCCAGCATGGCCAGAATTCATTTCTCATACTTCAGACATATGATCAGGAGGGATGAATACCTGGACAAGGACATCATGCTTGGTAAAGTGGAGGATCAATGAAAAAGATGAAGATCCTCAACAAGAAGTATTGGTACAGTGGAAAGAGCAATGGGCTCAAGCATAGCAATGATTGTGTGGTTGGTGCAGAATGGGACAATGCTTTATGTTTCTCTAACAAAATAATGTTGCTATGAGTCAGTACCAACCTAATGGCACCTAACAACAATAGTCATAGAACGTCCTTTTCTTTCTTACTGAATATGTGGGAAACAAAAACAAAAACAACTGATTTTGGGAATAGCAAAAAGGAAATTGAATGTTGAGATAATTAACAATGTGACTTCGTGCAAGAGTGTAAATCTAAGTGGGGCCAGTTTTCTATCTTAAGAATGGTAGTATAACACTAATATCTTTGTTGTGGTGGTGGTGGTTAAGTACTGCTGAGTCATGACCATGTATAGGGTTTCTAAGGAGCTTGAACTGCTGACCTAGTGGTTCAAACCAACTTTGCAGTCAGGTCATTTACCCACAGCCCCACACCAGGATTTAAATATCTTCTTTAGGGGACTGCTTAGTGGATGAATGATCTATTACATGTAAAGCATACATTACTGCTGGAATATTTTAATCACCCCTTAAATATAATGTTCTTCTTATTCTTTCACCCCAAATTAAAAATATTTGCATCTTTTAAAATCTAGAGTACTTTTAGATCTATTTCTGAAATTTTATTATAACCTTTTTTGTTTATCATATTATTTTTGGTTCTCTACTGGAGTAGATATGCAGATGATACAACCTTGCTTGCTGAAAGTGAAGAGGACTTAAAACACTTACTGATGAAGATCAAAGAGCACAGCCTTTGATATGGATTACATCTCAATGTAAAGAAAACAAAAATCCTCACCACTGGACCAATAAACAACATTCTTATCAATGGAGAAAAGATTAAAGTTGTCAAGGGCTTGGATCAACTATCAACACTCACAGAAGCAGCAGTCAAGAAATCAAACAACATATTGCACTAGGCAAATCTGCTGCACAGGACCTTTTTACAGTGTTGAAGAACAAAGATGTCAGCTTGAGGACTAAGGTGCGCTTTACCCAAGCCATGGTATTTTCAATAATCTCATATGCATGTGAAAGCTGGACAGTGAATAAGGAAGACCATAGAAGAATTGATGTTTTGGAGTTATGGTGTTGGAGGAGAATATTGAAAGTGCCAAAAGAACCAATAGATCTATTTTGGAAGAAGTGCAGCCAGAGTGCTCCTTAAAGGCAAGATGGCCAAATTTCGTCTTTCATACTTCAGACATATTGTCAGGAGGGACCAGTCACTAGAGAAGGACATCATGTTTGGTAAGGTGGAGGGTCAGAGAAAAAGAGGAAGACCCCCAACAAGACGGATTGGGCAAGTGGCAGCATCAATGGACTCAAGCGTGGCAACAGTAGTAAGGCTGGCCCAGGATTGGGCAGTGTTTTGTTCTGCTGTGCATAAGGTTGCTATGAGTCAGTACAGACTGTATGGCACCTAACAACAACAACAATTGGTGTAGAGATGAGCTCTGGATTTTCAGCTACAAGGTTGGCAATTCAAACCTACCAGCTGTATGTACCACAGAAATCCTATATAGGGTCACTGTGAGTTAAAACTGACTCTACGACAATTAACAACAACAACAGCTCCTTTGCAATACCATTTTTTTATTTTTCCCTTAAGTGACTTGTCCAAGGTAACAGCTTGATTTTCTCTCAGTTTATCTTAATTAAGCCTTTTGAAAACAGACCTTCACTTAATATTGCTCTTCCTTTCCCGAATTTTAATTGCTAAACATGGGAGAGTTAACTTATTATTTGGTTCTGCCATATCATTCTTTTATAAAAAAGGCTCCTTAGAGATGTAAACAGAGCCTCTCATTAAAAAAAAAAAAAAAAAAAAGCATGCATACATATATAAGCATCTACATGTGCAATGTGCAATGCAGAAACTATTTCCTAAGTCATGCTCATGTAATGTCTCCACAGGAAAAACCTGATTATGTTCAGTATGTTTTTGTCCTTTGCTTTTTCTTGCCTCCTAAGAAGTAAACCAGAAAAGCCATGGATGGTAAGTCTTTTGTTTATATCTGGTGTGTTTTTAGGAGAGGTACATGGGAGAGGATGTGGGTTCACTTGAATTTTTTACTAGACTCTTCTTCACAGTTTGTGTGAGCAATATCCAGGGCCTTCCCTGGTCTTTATTCTTTCAGGTTCTGCTTTGAGGCCCTTGAGGCAGGTGCTCAGCTGAGTGTTCTTTGCATTTCAGATGGAAAGGTGAATGACATGAAAGAGTGTGGCCTCATGTTCTCGGGTAATTTTTGTGGTTCTTTGCTGTGTTCTCAGATGTCAAAAAAGTGGCTGAGATTCAGAATTTGCTTGATAGGATCATCATGGGCGGTTGTCACTAATTTTAAGAGGAATGAAAATTACATTAATCTGACCATTATTGGCTCTAATTTTCAGACATGTATCTATCAAAGTGAAAGCACAAGTGGAGCTTTCTGTTCTTTGCCAGGAATTAACCAATGCAGAGCTAAGGGAACAATTTGCATAAAACCAGCCTTGTTTTAGCATGGCTAGGTAAGAATCCTGGGAGTGAGTGTCCATGGGCTTAGAAGAGTGAAAGTGAACTTGTTGTTGTCAAGTGCCGTCGAGTCGATTCTGACCCATAGCGACCCTGTATAGGGTTTCCAAGGAGCAACTGGTGAGCTTGAACTGCCGATCTTGCAGTTCAAATGGCTTTGAAGTCTGGCACATTAACCCACAGAGCCACACCTGGACTCCAACATGAACTTAGAGAGGTTAAATGTGTCATTTGATGGGACACCTGAGCAATGAAGTGGGGGCATAGAAAGGGGGAGTAGTTACTGAGATGACAGAGTGAATCTTTGTAGATGGTTATACCTATTGCCATTGTTCTGCTTCCAGCAAATAGACTAAAAGACAAAAGAAAACTATTTGTTCAGTCAGTGTCTGAGGACACACTTAATGGCTTGCTGGATGACCTATTGAGTGACAAAGTGCTCAATCAAGAGGAGGTTGAAATAGTGAAAAAGGAAAACAATACAACAATTGCCAAAGCTCGTGCCTTGATGGACTTTGTGATTCCCAAAGGGCTCCACGCTAATCAGAATTTGATCAAACATATTTGTGAGAGAAATATCACCCTTGCTAAGAAGCTTGGATTTCCTTCAGGTAAGATTACCCAATTCTGTTAAAGTGATGTCTTAACTTGTTCAAGTATCTTGGCATTCAATATCTGCTTTCCTATTTACTTGCCTGAAAACAGATGATTCAACTGCTCTTAATCTTGTGTCTGGAGTCCTGGTGTGGCACTGTAGGGTAAGCACTGGACCACAAGGTCCGTTTAACCACAAGGTCGGTGGTTCAAACTCACCAGCTGCTCCTCAGTAACCCTGTACTGGGTAGTTTATGAGTCAGAACTGACTTGACAGCTCTTAACAACAGTCTTGTAACTACTCACCATCAGATTTCCATTCATGTATACCAGATCTTGCTTCCAGCTCCCCCTTCTTTTTATACCCATCTCTGTTTTATATTTAGACCATACCATACTCCTGTTTTGAAGTAACTCACTATTTAAATAGTAATTCTATTGTACAGAATTAATCAGAAACACTTTATCATGGTTTTGCCAAATAGGTAAGAAACAATGACTTTTATTTTGGTTATTGAGAATAGACCATGAGGATTGTGAAAAGACTAGAATGTCTAGTTCCCTTTCTTCTTTCCTAGTCCCTTTCTTTATATGCATTTTTCAAACCTTAATAAATTTCCCAGAATTAAGGCAGGCCAATAGAGCATCATTAGATCCCTTACCTTACAGCCTTCACCACTGAAGTTACATGAAATGCATTGTTTTATCTTGGGTAGATGTCATAGTCAGTTAATGCCCTCACAGAGGAGTTTTCATTTCTTGCATAGCCACAATTCATTTTTGTTAACAAGATGTTGAGAAAAAATTATAATTCTTAAATGTTAGGAGGTTTTACACTAAAGTTTTTCTATTTGTTTTCCAAGAAAATTAATGTCTTTTTCTGTTATACTTTCTAGCATGACATAGAGGGTATGGAACCCACTAAGGAATCCAGATATACCAAGTACCACAACCATATCATATCATATCTCTTACAGCTGTTTCAGAAACTCTTAACAGACCAAAAGAGACAGCATCTGCAGAATCCATAGACAAACTCAAGCTTTGTTCTTATGAAGATTTCCTGAACAGAAAAGAAAAAGAGAAGTCTGGAGAGGTGATATGATTAATGGAATTGGGGGGAAATGAAGCAGAAATACTCCCTAAACATAAACTATATAGAGGTCCTGAAATTGACACTACTATTCCTCATTGCGCTCTGAGGCACTATAAAGGTTTTGAAAAAATGTATGCTGGTGTTTCCATTGTAGTAAGAACAATAGATATGCAATAATGAAATCATTAATGAGGCTACATGTTATACACAAATACTAAAATATTGCTATAAAAATAATGCTACAGGTGCATGAAGGCATGGGTTATGATCAATGTAGACTGAAGTATGTGAGAAGTATCTCTAGCATTGGAGAATTTTGAGATGTATCTTAAATATCACATAGGGCTTGGTCAAATCAAAGAGAGTAGAGAAGGCAACAGAGAATGTATTCTAGTCAACTGCAAAAGATCCTTGAATAAATATCCCATATCTGTTCATGTTCCTATCTTGTGGTTTTGCTCTTTTAGTCAGACTCTGAGTAAGACTCCATTCCCCCCACCAACTCTTTGCTTTCTTTCATAACTTCTAGGATTCATTAGTAGGAGAGAAGGAAATATTTCTGGTATAAGTTAGCAGTATGGAAGTTTGCCATTGAAAATGTAACTTTTGACTATTCCTCAAATGTGTAAGAAGTGTGATGCATCTAACTTATCTTTGTTCTGAAGATCTATCTAATAAAGGAGAAGAAGGAACGCACTCGCCTGGCCCTTATCATCTGCAACACAGAATTTGAATACCTCTCAAGACGCAATGGCGCTGACCACGACATCAGAGGGATGAAGGAACTCCTTGAGGGTCTGAATTACACTGTGCAAGTGGAAGAGAACTGCACAGCAAGGGTAAGGGTAGGACATTGGCAAGACATAAATCTACATGCTCCCATACTTGTAATCCGTGGGAGAAAGATAAGGCTTTCTGCTCCCGTAAAGATTTACAGCCTCAAAAACCCTGTACAGGGTCGCTATGAGTTGAACCGTCTCCACGGGACATAACAACAACAACAAATACTTCTAATGACAAATCAGCTTTATAATTTGTTATTTATTTAACTTCTATAACTTTACTTTCTTTAACTTTAAAAGGAAAGCTAGAACTAGGACCAATAATTCCATATTGTTGTTGTTGTTAAGTGCTGTCCAGTCAGTTCCGACCCACAGTGATGCTATATACGGTTTCTGAGACACAGCTGGTGAGCTTGAGCCACCGACATTGCTGTTCAAAGGATTTTGTAGTTCAGCACATTAACCCACAGCACCACACCAGAACTCCATATGTTGTGGTTGTTGTTATGTGCCATGGAATCGGTTCCGACTCATAATGACCCTGCATAGGGTTTCCGAAACTGTAAATCTTTACAGGAGCAGAAAGCCTCATCTGTCTCCCACGAAACAGCTGGTAGTTTCGAACTGCTGACCATGAGATTAGCAGCCCAATTCATAACCACTATGCAACTAGAACTCCTTAGAACTCCATATACATCTCCTTTAAAATATGCACATACACACACACACACACACCACAAACCAAGTCAAACCTGCTGCTATCAACTCAATTCTGATTTGTGGTAATCCCATGTGTTACAGAGCAGAACTCTAGAATTTTCTTGACTATAATCTTTACAAAAGTCTATTGCCAAGCTTTTTCTTCCACAGTAATGCTCAGTGGGTTTGAACCAACAACTTTTAGGTTAGTAAAACACCCTAAGCCATTGAGTCAATTCTGACATATAGCAAACTAGAACTGCTTCATGGGTTTTCTGAGGCTGTAAATCTTTATGGGACCAGGTAGCCTCATCTTTCTCTTCCAGTGTGGTTGGTGGGTTTTAACTTGCAGTTAGCAGTCCAATGCTTAACCCATGGTACCACCAGGGCTTTCTGTCTCTTTAACCCCACAAACATATACACACAGAGAGGAAGGGGCTTCAAAACATTGATGGAAAAATGGAACTGAAAGATAATTGAATTTTCATGAACTTTTTGAATCCCCAGTGTGTGTTGTTGCTGTACTAAGTGTCAGTAAATTGGTTCTGACTCATAATGACTCTGTATGTTGTTGTTGTTATGTGCCGTGGAGTCAGTTCCAACTCATAGTGACCCTGTATAGGGTTTTTAAGGCTGTAAATCTTTATGGGAGCAGAAAGCTTCATCAAAGCAGAACAGCTGGTAGTTTCAAACTGCTGATCTTAAGGTTCACAGTCTGATTCATAACCACTACACTACTAGAGCTCCTTAATGACTCTATATAGGGTTTGTGAATCTTTTAAAATACTTGTGCTCTTCTAAATCTATGCCACACATGCCATGTGTATGAAGAAATATAGAGAAGTGATACTGCAATTTGAGAAGGACACAACCAGAATTGTAGGCACACTGGGGTGTAGGAGTTTGTGGAGGAGTAAAATATCCTGACTTCTCTCTCCTCCTACCTTTTGATATTCTCTTATCTAATGTAGGTGCCTCTTACTAGTGTAACACAATGGGAAAATGGATGTCAGGAGAGTACAAATGACGTGGTGTATAGAGTCACAAAATAGGAGAGAGAGAGCAGAGAGTGAATCTGGGATGTCAAATAAAATGGATGTCAGGAGAGTACAAATGACGTGGCGTATAGAGTCCCAAAATAGGAGAGAGAGAGCAGAGAGTGAATCTGGGATGTCAAATAAAAAATAACCATCATGAGATGAATAAAATAAGGAATATTTATAAAAGCAGAGTGGTGAAATAATCACCAGAATTATTATAATAACTATGAAACATCTCTATGAGTCAGAACTGACTCCATGACAGTTAACAACAATAACAACATGACATTAACAATAACAACAACAAATAACAATTATAATGGCTACTTCTGAGTACCCACTATATATTATACTTCGTAACGTGCCAGGCACATATGCTTTTTATTGGTCAACGCTGCATTGGTGTACTCTTTTTCAGAATATGGAGTCAATATTAAAGGCATTTGCTACCCGTGATGAGCACAAGTTTTCTGACAGTACATTCTTGGTGTTCATGTCTCATGGCCTGCTGGATAAAATCTGTGGGATTAAGCATAGTGATGAAAACCCTGATGTATTGCTTTACGATACCATATTCCAGAATTTCAACAATCTCAAATGTCCCAATTTGAGAGACAAACCCAAGGTCATCATCATCCAGGCTTGCAGAGGTGGTAAGAGTTTATGGGGGTCCAGGTGAGGGAAGTGCTTGCCAGGCAGGTTGAGGGCTGTGCTATATGTTTTTAACTAGTGAGTATGACCTCGCTCTAGTACAATTATACAAGATGAGTTTCTTTGGAAAGATAACTTTTTCTGTGTATAAGTCATATAAAGCAAACAAAAATTACTGTGGCATTGATTCTTGAAATCAAACTTTCATGGAATTATAGATCTTGGGGAATGACAAAAAGAAGACTTAGCAATGGGCAAGGAAAGGGTTTGAAAAGATTGGGTAAGAATCAACTTGATTGTCTTTGAATAGAGCAGATAGTTCCTTACTTGGCTTTGTACTGCTTCCTAACCTTGATGTAACTTGGATATATGTCAGCCACGATTTTGTCAGATATTATTGTTATTTTACTATTTTCAAATTAAAAAACTACTCATGTTACTTAGTATTTTTTAACTCCATTTGTCCTCGATTAGTAGATATTTTCCAGTTCTAAAAGGTCTTTGCTATCCATTGACATTTTGTTGTTGTCAGTAGGTGCCCTAAATTCAGTTCCAATTTATAGCAATCCTAACCCTAACAGAACACAATTCTATCCAGTCCTGCGCCATCTTCACAATTATTACGCTTGACCCCAGGACTGCTGCCAATGTGTCGACCCATGTCGTTGGGAGTCTTTGTCTTTTTCACTGATCCTCTAATTTTCCAAGCATAATGTCCTTCACCAGGAACTGATCCCGCCTGATTACACGTCAGAAGTATGAGAGACTGAGAGACGTAGTCTGGCCTTCTGGCTTCTTAGGAGCATTCTGGCTCTGTGCATCTTACAACATAGATTTGACTTATCTTCTGGAAGTACATGATATTTTTAACATTCTTCTCCAACGCCATAATTTAAACACATCCATTCTAAGGTCTTCCTTACTTATTGTCCAACTTTCTTATGCATACAAGGTGATTGAAAATACCTTGGCTTAGGTCAGGTGTAGTTTAGTCTTCCAACAGATATCTTTGCCCTTTAATACTTTGTTTAATAATGCAATCCATTTTTTAAATTTTTTGACTGCTGCTTCTAAAAGTGTTGATTGTGGATCCAAGCAAAATGAAGTCTTTGACAACTTCAAACTATTTACATTTATCATGATTTTTTAAAACATTTGTCCAGTTGTTAGAATTGGCATTTTGTTTGGTGTGAGTAAAGACACAGTTTTATTATGTTTGTATAAAATTAATTGAAATACCTTTGTAAAATGGCATTTTATTTAAGTGAACAGTTTTCAAAGACTTGCTAAAATACGAATAATATGATGTTTTTACAGAACGTGAAAGAGAAGCATGGGTCAGTGACTTTCCAGCGTCCTCAGCAGACAGCTCTTCCCTGTCACTAGAGAATCTGCAGGATGATGGTGTCCACAAAACCCACGTGGAGAAGGACTTTGTTGCTTTCTGTTCTTCAACACCACGTATGTGTCTTTCACTTATGAGCAGGGATTGGAGGTACAAAGCCTTGCTTGCCTGTTTTATTTTTGGTACATTATTTTAGGAAAGAAAATAGACTAAAATCTTGGGAATTATTGGAATTTATGAATGAATGGAGAGACCATCCAACTTATTGCAGTTTTCTTTTATAACTATTTTTCTAGCGATCCTCCCTTCTACCACTACATTTACCTGTATGCTAGTATTTCATGTACTTTTAGAAAATCACCAGCCAGTACCAGTAGGCAGAAGGAAACAGTTTATAATGAGTCCTGGTATGGCGCTGTGGGCTAATGTGTCAGACTGCAAAGCTGTTTGAACTGCAAGGTTGGTGGTTCAAGCTCACCAGCTGCTCCTGGGAAACCCTATACAGGGTCGCTATGGTTCAGAACCGCACTTAACAACAGCAACTGTACAGAATAGAACTGTTTTGATAGCTGAGAAGGTGGGGAAAGGGGGTGTTAAGATTTAAACTTTTTCTTAAAAAATCACTTTCTAGTTTTAAAGGTAAAAAAACCTAGGAATGAAATACTGTTTCTAAAACCATCAAACAATTAGTAACAACTAGCAAAGTGAGATTACAACCTAAGCAAAATAAAATATTGTAAAGGATAAATTAAGAAGGTCTCCATACTTATGGTGATTATTTTGAAAGAAAAAGGAGATGGTATAGGAGTCTCAGTGTGGCGCTGTAGGATAAGCATGGTCAGAGGTTCAAATTTAGTAGCCACTCCTCAGAAACCTTATTACAGGGTCGCTAAAGGGTCCTGGTGTGACGCTGTGGGTTAATGCGCCAGACTGCAAAGCTGTTAGAACTGTAAGCTCCGCGGTTCAAGCTCAGCAGTCCCTCCTTGGAAACCCTATACAGAGTTGCTATGGGTCGGAATCTACTCTAAGGCACTTAACAACAACAACAAGGGTTTGAATGGTGTCCTGGTGTGGCGTTGTAGGTTAATTTGCTAGACTGCTAGGTCATTTTGAGCCGCAAAGTCAGCGGTTTAAGCTCATCAGCCACTCCTCTGAAACCCTATACAGGGTCACTGTGAGTCAGAACCGAATCAACGGCACTTAACAACAACCACAACAACAACATGAATCTGAACAGACTCAATGGCGTGTAACAAAACAATAGTAGAAAAAGGGAACTCCGAATGGAAGTATGGACTGGGAAAAGTGGGAAAAGAGACTAAATTTATGAAATGTCAAACTAAAGCTTTTCCTTGAGGTCATAGTAGGAGGCAAGTCAACAATTACTGAGACAGACAGAGAGCTAGAAATAGATAAATGTACTATTTTATCTTCAGCAACTCTCTTTCAAGTCTGCCAAGTAAACATTATTAATCTACCCCACTCTCACAAAAAAGGAAATTAAAACTCAGGAAACATATGTAAATTTCCTGAGTAAACATAGGTTACTGTTGTTATTAAATGCTGTCAAATCAGTGTGACTCACAGTGACCCTGCTCTGTATGGCAATATTTAGTAGTATGTAAGATGGCACTTAACAGCACATTATGTAGTAAAGGACTCCTGGTGTGATTGGAGAATAAGACTCAACCCCAAGGTAGGTTTGACCCAGGAGGTGGGTGGTTCAAACTCACCAGCTGCTCCTCAGAAACTCTATACAGGGAACCAACTCTCATAGGGTCACTCTGAGTCAGAACCAACTCAACAACACTTAACAATAGTAACAACAACAAATACGTAGTATGGTAGTATTTTTACTGGTATGAATGCATGTCTGACTTTGAAGTTTAGGCTTCTTTGGTGGCCCAACAATGACAATACAGAGGCTATATTATTAACAGTTGTGAACCATTCCGAAGTTGGCTACGTGTTGTTCTTTAGTAACTCTGGAAAAGGACTTCTTGAAAACCAGAGTATCAAGCCTTAACAAAAGTCATCTGTGTTCATAGCTGCTATGGAAATTGGCTTGCCAATGATAATTCAGAGCACTGTTCAGAAACAGACTGGATGAAGTGAGTTCAGTAACTACTCCATCAGTTTATACTTTTTTTTGCCTTGGTCAAGAATAAGTGGGAAAACATTGAGTAGATAACACAGCTTGTAGTATCAAGTTTTATATATCAGTTTTACAGTCTGTACTATGGTTCTAGAGTCCTGATGTTGTAACATTTACCTGATATATTTTTTTATTGTTCAATATAAGCCACCATGTTATTCTATCTATAAAGAGTCAGGTACAGAGTCTGACTATTTATTTCTCCTACTTGCTTAAATTTGTTCAAAGATATTTTCAATCCAAGTCCCTTGGAAAAACTGAAGGCTGTAGCTCAAGATTAATCTGTACTTTATTCACAGATGATGTTTCCTGGAGAAGTGAAAATGGTTCTGTCTTTATCATACAACTTATAAATTGCTTCCAAAATTATTCTTGGTGTTGTCACCTGATAGAAATATTTGGAAAGGTAAGTTCCATATTCTCCATTGTTGTTGTTAAGTGCCGTTGAATCTGTTCCAACCCATAGCGACCCTGTATAGGGTTTCAGAGAAGCAGCTGGTGAGCTTGCACCTCTGACCTTGCAGTTCAAATGACTTTGAAGTCTGGTGCATTAACCCACAGTGCCATACCCGGACTCCCTAATGCTCCTTTATTTAGTCATATAAGCCAAAATAAGTGTATATCAAACCCACCTATAAGTGATACATCTTGATTTTTAATTACATCTAAGCTATTGATACTAAGCACTGATAGGCGAAGGATGTTAATACTTATTGAGTGAACCCCTGTCTTTCAAATACTAAAACTTTCAGACATAAGGAAGAGAGTACAAATATGGTAGAGTGAATATATTGCATGGTGACTGCAAAGTCGATATGAATCGCAAGTTTGGTGGTTCAAGCTCACCAGACACTCATAAGAAACCTTACACATGTTCACTATTGGTCAGAACCGACTTGATGGCAATTAACAATAACAAACAACAATATATATTATGGAATAAAATTTATTTAAGCATTCAGATTTACTTAAGCATTCAGATTATGTAAAAAAGATTTGGTATAAAATACATATTATAAGTGTTTACTGAACTTCCTTATAACCAAACCTGGGATTATATGATATTGATAAAGCAGTAAGCTTCATAATCAGTCCCTGCTTCATAGTCAATATTCTAGTAGGAGACAGAGACAGTAAAAATCACATCATCCAAAATGGAGTTTTCAGTTTTCTAGAAGTGGAAAAAAGCCACAGTGCTCTGTGAGAGCAAATAAAGCTAGGAGGTGGAAAGGGTGCTGTTACATTGAGGAAATTACCACTAATGTTATGAAACAAACCGTGTGTAAATGTTAAATGGAAAACTCATTTTCTTTCACCCAAACCATAATTTTAAAGATATACTAAAAGGAGCTCTGGTAGCGTAGTGGTTACGAATCGGACTGCGAACCTAAAGGTCAGCGGTTCGAAACTACCAGCTGCTCCGCGGGAGAAAGATGAG